GCCTGCTGGACCATTTGAAGCTTCCGAACAGTTTTCAAAGGCAACCCCATGTAGAGCGCATTGCAGTAGCCTATACGGGATGTAACTAGAGCGTATTTACTGGTAGATACAGCATAGCAGCTCCCTACTACTTCTCCCTGGTCCTTTAAATTACTCCACACTGCTAATTCCAGACTCATCTGTTGATTTAGAAGTGATAGGTGTTCTTATTCCAGTGTTTGAAGATACAGTCACCATTCTGTATGTGGAATGGAACGATATGCCATCTTGTTCTTTGTCCCAGGGATCAAAGTATCTTGGACTGAGACTGAAGTATACAATATGACCTAGTCCTGTGGGAACAGTTATTACAGTTTTACCTTCCCACTTCGGACCAAAGGGAATTTTTTTAGGTCTTCCATGTGATTTGATGGTGTTTCTGCTGGAAGTTGACATACAGTGGTCCTGGAGGACCCAGCACATTACTAGAAAGGATACGTCTCTATAATTTTCCAAGGTCTTCTAGTGTGACTGTATGCTAACTTCTGAAATCAACTGTTTCCTATTTCCAAAATAGGTTCAGTAATGTATCCTACATGGATACAGGGGTTGTAGTCTATGAACTATTGCAGGACAAGTCAGCTCCAAGATGACCCTGGCAATGCTTCGTTGACCTAGTAGTATGTGTGTTAAAAAGAAGTACCATCCAAATGGCTGAGGCACCATCCCTGGAAACAAAGAAAATGTAATGAAATGGAAAGCATTCAGAAAGAAGTTAAGAGAGACACTAACACTAGGCAGGCAGTGATCTTCGCTAAGAATTAGGGTTGTGAAGGCTCGAAAACAGAGTATGAAATAATAACATACAGAATCAGATAAATGAGTCACCAACCCAGAATAAAAAATGAATTGATGGAGAAAGATCAAAAGCCAGGAGGCAACAAGTTTTTGCTTGGAAAGTGGTAGGACTGCAAGCCAAGGCAGAAAATAAGGTTGGTTAATTCAGAGCTGCACAAAGTGAGAAATCCATGTCATTATAAAAAGAAATGTCAGGTGTGAAGAAATTCTCAAAAAGTACACTCTCTTCGTATGTGGATCTGGCATCTTCAGCCTGTGATGACAGCAATCTTCAGTTGCTTTTAGAGAGCGTTGGCTGAATTGGTCTGAATTACTCTGTGAATCTGCTGTAGATGAAAGCAGGAGGCTAGACTGTCTGTCCTACTCAGGTCTGTCTCGGACAACAGGAGTTAAATCCAACATTACTCCTAGTAAGAAAAGATACATTAGATGAATGGAACCCATTACTTTGAACTAATTTAAGCTCTACTGATTTTGGAAGGTCCATTTCAATAAGGAATAAAATGAATTTTGTTCTCGGAAAGTTACTCTTTAAAATGGTTGATCAATGTGAGGCCTTGAAAATATGTACAGACCCCCCCCCCCCCCCCCCCCCCCCCCCCCAAGACATGTTTGGAAACTTTCAAGACTCTCTCTTTTTGGCCTTAAGCAAGGGTGAATTGCCTTTACCAGAAGTCTTCAAGAAACACAATGCGCTTTTTCAATTGAATACAAGGATTCCCTTGCATTGTTTGCCATCAAAATACCAATTTCACAAAAGCAGTCACTAGCCTCTCTTGGTTCTTTTTTTGTTAATTTTTCTTGATTTTGTCTTTTTCTGGCAGCCCAGAGGCAAAAAAAAAAATTACATCTCATGATAGCTGCACTCCACTGCTTCAAAAGTAGTAAGTTACACTTAAAATTATATGTTTAAATTTATATATTTTCAGTAAATTTGGCATTCCTGTTTTTCAGACCAACTATAATGTTATTTTGTTTTTAAATCACTTTCTGAATACTGCAAACCATCATTTCATGGTACAAAACATGAACCTCCTATCTACTTTGTTGTCACTCAATATTAATTATGCAGGAGGCAATTCATGCTGGCACTTGAACCATATGGAAGACCGCAATTCATAACTAAATTAGAAATATGCTACCTGCATAGATACAAATGTAATGTAAAGCAGTTTATCTTTTGTTCCCATAAAACTGAATTTATAAATAGCTTATTTGTTAATTATTTACTTCCAAGCTATGACTGACATATATGAGTCCCAGAATGGTGCCATACATGGATTTACTTTGATCTCAGTTGTGTGATTGGAAAATCAGCTTTCCCAGAGACCGGCAATTTAAAGCAGATACAATTCTCTGTTTAGGCCTTGGTTTGGCTTGCCATGTCTTAAAAATTATTTACTTCATCGCTGTAGCCAAACAGGTCACATTAGCCTCTAGACCAGGCATGGGCAAACTTTGGCCCTCCAGGTGTTTTGGACTTCAACTGTTAGGAAATGTGGGAGTTGAAGTTCAAAGCACCCAGAGGGCCAAAGTTTGCCCATGCCTGCTATAGACATATCCAATGTACAAACAGGAGGAAGCAACTTGCTGTTTGGTATTAAGGGAATGCATCTTGCACTGGCACGCTGTTACATATCTCCTTATGCAACATGCTGCAATAAAATATTTTCTCCAATGTATCTAAATGCAATGCCAACACTTCTGTCTTGAGGAAGAAATCACAGAGGTTCCAGAAATCAGCAGAAAACAGAAGCCTCCCGATATAAAGTATAGTAGTGACCCCTAATGGGCTTCATGTATTACTGCTAAACAGAATAATTTTTTTCTAAAATGTTGTAGAGTACATACATATTCATCATGGCATTTTTCAACTTTATCTTCACTTCATACTAAATAAAATATAAATATTTAATATTTAATAAGTATTAAGCTTCCAAGATCAATCTAATTCTAGGGAAAATTCCTGGTGTTCATATGTGTTAAGATATTCCTAGCAGGTTGTTCTACAACACACACAAGCTCACATTAAATATACCTCTCCAGAAGCTTCATAATTCTCTTGCATTTGTTTTCTAGAAATCCAAAAATAGGTATGTTCTAATAGATAGCTACTAAATTGCACTAATCTTTAATTCAGAAGAAATTCAAACTGAAATAGATAAACTTCATTGTAACTGATTTCATGGATAAGAACGAAAGGGATCAAAACTAAGATCTTACACAAAATCTGAGGTTGAAGAAAGCTGCTTTGGAAATAAAGGCATGCTAAAATAACTTATTACTGATACAGAATTGTAGGCCACATATTCCAAAAATTAAGGTAAATTCCCCAACACAGTGGCCATTTCTCTCCACTATTTCTCTACTTAAGTGCTACCATCATTTTGAAATAAAATTGCATATACTTTTTTAAAATTTGTAAAATTTAAATACTCTGCACATTACACAAAAAATTGATAGGCAGAAACGTTAGGGAATAAACTTATTTCAGAGTTCTGTATGATTGATGTCTTTCCCCAATACTAGGTACTGTGGGCTCATGTGTTACACAAGAAAATCATTCCAGGAATCTGGAACTCTCTTATCTGGAATAAGTGGGTTTGGACCTCCAGCCACTTCATACCACAGAGTTCTGCTAAAGGATCTACAAATGTCTAGAAACGTGTTCTCTCTAGATCTTATGTGGCAAAAAACTGGCAGAAGCTGAATGCTTCTCTAAACACTGCTGGTTTCTGCAATGTGATTTTATGGCATTCACAGTTCTTTGCAAATAACTGTAACCACATTCAAAGAGCTCATGTAATAAACAGGCCTTGGTTTTCTAAATAAGTCAAGAGTGATTTTCTATTTGCGTTAATGTAGCATTAAACAAAATTAAATGCAACTATGTCTCATATCTGACCAAAATAGCTCTAGAGGAAAGCATAACCTGATTTATATAGGAAATATCATTTTCTATAGGAAACAACATTCTTTTTAATTTTGGTTGATTTTGAGTAAATGGATTTCTCAAGATTACAAAGGGTTACTAAGGAGGCTTATTCCTGGGTAGAGATGCACAACTGCTTTACAGTCAGTAGTGATTGATGTAAAAATGACATTAGTAATTCAATATTTCAAACTGATGGTTGTGAGTGTGTGTGTGATAAAGGAATATGGAAGTCTGCAAACCCAATTCTTTTATATCAGTTTCCCAACCTGTGGTCCATGGACCACCAGTGGTCCCAAAGAATGAAAATATGGTCCGCTGCCTCACCATTACTACACTGTTGCCTCGAAACTATGCGGAAACGAGTGACTGATCTTGCAAAACCCTCTTATAGTGCTGAGGCAACTGGGATGTTTGGAGGGGGGAAGCTGACTATCCTTGAAATATTACTACTACCACATCAGCTCTAGATTATTAAATACGTTTTTTTTTCTGTGGGCTCGCAGATGGTGACTACTGGATAGCATATGTTCTGTATCAGAAACTAGAGCTGATCCAATGTAATTTTCTGAACCAGCATCCCAAATAACCAACCTGAGTCTAAAGTTGACCAAAAACCAATTCGTAACCCTTTTGGTACTAATGTTGGAGAGTAGTCCCTGGTCAAAAAAAGGTTGGGAACCACCGTTCTCTAATGACAAAATACAGAGGACCCAGAGACACAGCTGAAATGCAAAACTCATTGCTTTCTTCCAATAATTTTGCCTATAAAGTACACATGCCACATGTTTGAGGTTTCAAGGGACTCCTCTGTAATATTAAATACTTTGCTGTTTTTCTTTTTTCCAGCAAGTGCAAGATCACTGTTGGGTGATACCTGGGAAGCCTGTTAATAGCATGCACACTTTTCCTCATATACAGTAACAAGAAAATATGCAGATCAGGGACTAACATCATCCCTTTCTCCAAGCTGTGCATTAAAAATATTTTTTTGGCAAAGAAACCATAGTTTCAAAAGCTAGCACCATCATTTCCCTTCCTTTTTGGTTAGTCTAATACAGACATTGGAAACAACGGAGATATGTAATTCCACTGAACAGTATGTTCAACACTTTTAATCTTTTTGAATAATCTAAAATTCATATGGGGAGAATAAAACTCCTTCAATGGATGTACAATGGATGTACAAGATGATATAGATTATGCTAATATAGAAACATTCCTCTCAAACTCTTTTCTTACATTTTTATTTAAGAACCAAAGGCAAAAAACCAGATTTTTAAATACAGGAAAATCACCTAAATGCTTGTAAAGTTTAAACGTACTATTCATAAGTTGTTTTCACTGTTATTGCCCACAACATTATAACAAGTCCTACCAGTGCTACAAAAATGGCAAACTTCATCTGGTCAGTACTATAGAAAGCCACATGATAATCTGTGTGAAGATTGACACTTGTATAGGCACATTGTGGTAGCAGAAATACATTTCAATTGTGCATCTTTTATTAGTTGAAACTGTATGATCCAAAAGAGGTATTCCAAGATCAAGATCAACTAACTGTACACTTAAACTACAACCAATTATTTAACATTTTAATTCTGAACAGTACCCTGAAGACAAGACATCAGGAAAGTCAGTGGAGAACACTGACAGCCACATGAATTGCTCTGCACACAGGACAGAGACTTGGGCAGTGAAAGATAAAAGCAGCCATTTGGTTATTAAAATCCAGTGGTCCTGCTTCATAGTCCACAAGTCACTAATGCTTCCATGAAGCCCACTGGGATATTGCAGCAAGCAAGTCTTATATAATAAGTTTGATTAGGGCTGCAGTATTTACTGGGAATCTCACTGAATATGAATAATCATGCTGCAAATTGACACATACTTAGAACCCCCCCCCCCACCCACCCATAATGTAGCTTCCTTTTTTGGCCAACCAATTGCTATTTGGAATTCTAATAAGAGATGCAGTTTCATTGTCATTCATAAATACAAAATTTTATTGGCATGTCATTAGTTGAAAACGACAATGCTTTTCATTACCACAACATTTAGGACACATCAAGTTATTCAAATACGTAGCTACTGGTTTACCACAGCTAGACTATACAGTGCAGTTTTAATAAAAGATATACCAAAAGAGATATGGTTCACAAACCCATTCAGACAAAAAAGTTTTTAGCACAGCATATTTGATGGGAATAAGCTTACCTATTAGAAAAAGTATATGTAACAGAAGTAATCTTCCCATTTTTTCCAGACAAATAAACATATATATTCTTCAATATAGGAAAACGTTTTGTCCTAAACATGATTTTAAAAGAATTTGTCTAGGGCAACAGCAATGTTGTTTCTTTAAAAAATATTGTTTTTTTAAAATAAGTTGCAAATATATCTCTGTTTTATACAGAACCTGATTGCTAGCTAATCTGTGTTAGAGGAAAACAACTCGGCATGTTGGCAATTTTTCTTTTTTAAAAACTGCTCAGAATGCATCACCTCAGTACACATACCCATTACCTATAATAAAGTATAATAAATAATAAAGGAGTGTTGCAAATAGCATTTGCCTGTGTGTTTAGGATTCATTTCAGTAAAGTTCGCACAGAACTGCATGGGGAAGTTCCACTGAACTGAATGGACTGCATCAGCATCTAGTGTTTTGAACTCTCAGGATGCAATCTTTTGCACCCTTGTGTAGAAGTTAATTCCCTAAGTCTCAACAAACACAACAGGGCTTAGTACTGAGTAAACACGCACAAGATTGTGCTGTCAGTAATTTTATGACACTGTAGTAAACAGGATCGTTTGTAGGAGACAATGCTGCTCAAGAAAGCATTATTACATGTCAGTCTAAATTTTAAAAACCATCTTAAGAAAAGCCAGCAAAGCACCATATACTAGAAGAAATCTGGTTTTATATCAAAGACTATTACAACATTTATGTTCAGAATAAGTATGGATTTAATTTCTTACATTCTAGGATGGGGAGTGCTGTATTTCCCAGCCAAATGTACAATATTTATAGTGCTGGGGGAAAGGAGTGAAAAAACACTTGAGGGAAGGTCAACACTTAACCAGTTAACAGCCGATTCCTACCCAGGTTTGCATATTTGCATATTTACAAAGTAGTGTGTAGCTCTGACTCTGAAACAAAGTGCAACAAGGAACTGCCACATGATTGTAGTGCCGAGTAGTACATGTGCTGCTTTTTTTCTTTCCTTTTCTCTTTTCTTTCCTCCCGTTCATGGTTTCTACTCTGGGCAAAGCAGCAAGTCAGCAACAGCGGACATGAGGTCTTGGAGGAGGCAGTTCTGGTGGAATTTCTGGTTCTGGTTGTAAAGACAGGATGCTGTTGGATAATTCGTTTCTTATTACATCCAAAGGCATCTTGAAATGAAAGGAAACCCAGTGTAAATAATATCTGATGCAGAATTCTACAAAATATTATTCAGTTAAATCTATACAAACCGTTTTCATAACCTGGCATACATTCAGATTTTTGTGAATAAACAGCATTAATTTGTTTTAAAATAGAAGGTCTTTACATTTAATTGTTGCCAACACTGTGAACCGTCCTGAGTCTCCTTCGGGGTTGAGAGGGGCAGTATACAAATATTGCAAATAAATAAATAAACGGTTCTGGCCCAACTTATCTATCCGAACGTATCTCAGCCTATCAGCCCACCAGGACCCTAAGGTCTTCTGGGGAGTCCCTGCTCTCTATCCCTCCAGCTTCAGAAGTGCGGCTGGCGGGAACGAGAGATAGGGCCTTCTCTGTGGTGGCCCCCCGGCTTTGGAACACCCTCCCTATAGAGATACGATCAGCCTCTTCGCTGATGGTGTTTAGGAAGAGATTGAAAACATGGATGTTTAAACAAGCATTCGATTAATCTGTCGCAACGAACTTTGATGACCAAAGGACTGGCAATCACGGATGACGAATTTTGGATTGTGATTTTAACTACGAGATGCATGGGATTATTATTGGTGGCCCAATAATTTGTATTGAATGTGTTTTTATGTTTTTAAATTGAATACTGTTTTTAATTGTTGTAAACCGCAATGAGTCGCCAATTTAGGCTGAGATATTAGCGGTATACAAGTGTATAAATAAATAAATAAATAAATAAATAAATAAATAAAAATGTAATGTTAGTTTGTGGGATTAACATAACTCAAACACTACTGGACAAACTGACACCAAATTGGGACACAATACACCTATCAGGCCAACGAGTGACCATCACTCATAAAAACATTGAAAAACTTAGCATAAGCGACTTAAAAAGCCAAAAGACGCTACAGCACATGCTTTCTTCTCCTTGGATTTCTTTGAGACCATCCCAATTCTTGCATATTTCCAATTTCCTATTCCTGGACTGCAACTCCCAGAAACCCTCTAGATAGATAAGATAGATAGAGATAGGTAGGTAGGTAGATAAATTAATCAGGAGGACTGCTGGGAATTGCAGTCCAAAAATAGGTAGAGAAGGAAGAAAGGGGAGAAAGAGGAAGGGAAAGAAAAGGAGGGAACAAAGGGAAGAGGAAGAGAAGGAAGGAGAGAAGGTAAAAGAGGGAAGGAAGGAGAGGAAGAAAGAAAGAGAGAAAGAGGGAGGGAAGGTTGGCCACAGCAATGCGCAGCAGGTACAGCTAGTAAATAAATAATTGTAAAGGCTCACATGTAAGCATTTTTTTCACAACAGTGAATTTATTGTAATGCCAAAATATAGTTACGTTGCCAATTATAATTTATGAAGATTATTTTTTATGATTGTAGCCACCATGTATTCATGAATTTATTATTCATAGATTGTGTGAAACTTTTATTCATCACTTGCGCCTTACAGCAAAAAATGCAATCATCAACTAAAGAAAACGTATACAATGCCTCTTCCCCATCAGTAAAACAAACAAAAATAATTTAGCAACTATATTGAGGCATGTTCTTATGGCAACATTAAGTACTGGAACTGAAACAAGCAGTGTAGAGTGTCCTTCCGATGAATTGGCTGTTGTATTATAGTAACTGAAGAATAAGTAAAGAACTCAATGAACAGTACTTTAAAACCGCCAGGATTTTGAGGATGCAATCCCATATGCACAAGAACCACTGAACTCAATGGTTCTTGCTTAGGAGTGTATGATACAGGACATTGTAAGTCTTATTAATATGCAGTATAGAAACACTTTACCTTTTTAAGGATGTCATCAACTAGTTTCAGAAATATTTCATCAACATTAAAATTATCCTTGGCACTAGCTTCACAAAACCGCATCCCAGTTATCTGCTGAGTAAACTAATAGGGAGAAGAAGAAAAAAGATAATAAGAAGCTTCTAGCCTTGCTCAATGTGATTGCTTTTGGCCAAAATGTGATTGCTTTTGGGGAGATAGGGCGGGATAGAAATTCACTCAACATTCATTCTTAAATCAAGTGGCTATATACGGACTCATTAGGACAAAAATAAAAAAGCAAAAGTTGCTATAATAGATGACTATACCTTCTGTAAACATCATTTAGTAAATTATTATCCTCAATAACACTTCACTACTATTTCGGACAAGGCTGGAGCTCATGTGTTTTTTAGATGTTTTTGTTGTTTACTGTTCCACGAATGAATGGTTGATACTAGCTGAAGAATCATTTGAGCATCAATTTTAATTTTTATCTTGACTAGGATTTACAAAGTAATAGGGCTAGTGCGGCGTTACAGAGTTGGGCTTCTGCTAATGTTTTCTTTTTGTATACTAAGGATATCTGTCATGTATCCCTTTTACATTTGGAGTGGCAATCTGGATTAAAAGTGCCATATATGCAAACAGTGCAGGAAATATTCCTGTGGTTTATCCCTATCTGACTCTTGTGACAGAGGTTGAATTCCAACTAATAAAACCCAGGGCTTGTTTGACTCTTTGGATTTGATTATTACACTATTCAGATGCTGTAAATGCTGTATGTGTGAACTGCACCCCAACTGTGCTTCTGTATACATGTAACTGTTTTGAAACAAGATACAGTAGAGTCTCGCTTATCCAAACTTCGCTTAATCAACATTCCTTCTTATCTGACTGCCCCCCACCCTTTCCTCCAGCATTTCACCTTCATTCCCAATAAATAAAAAAGGTAAGATAAGGAGGAGGAGGAGGGAGGAAAGGGAGAAGAGGAAGGACTGGAAGCGGAAGCGTTCTCCCTCCTTTCCTCTGTGATTTCCACACTCCTGTTCTGCATCTGGGCACTTCCTGCTCGGGTCACTCTAGCCCCGAAGCGTTACCTTGCCTTAACCCTTTGAGTCCCTGTTGTTAGTATTATAGGTGTCTAGTGTTGCGTCGGACACGCAATGATAGGAGACTCCGTATTATCCGACATTTTCATTTGCCCAACGTTCTGTCGGCCCGTTTATGTCGGATAAGAGACTCTACTGAATATGTAAGGGGTTTTTCATCTACAGGTTCTGACAAGGAGGGGGATTCCTCAGACTAGTTTATATATCTTAGTTCCAGAGGTCCCCAATATTTCAATAATGTCTGCATGGTCAAGGCTCTTTGGCAAATGCACCATCCAATTTCAAATGACTACAAACATGCTGGTTAGCAATGGAAATATTCTCAGGTACCACATGTACCATTGGAACCACATGATCCCACTTGAATGTTTACATAAGCCAATTCTCAGGTCTTTTGAAAAGGTGAACATTAAGAATTATCAGATTAAAAAAGTAGAAACAATAGATTTAATATGGAATTCTATACAAAGGAAACATTTTTCAAGAAATGTATCAAGTAAATAATACATGAAAAGTAGGAAAGTTAGCCCAATCGAATGTTAACAAACAACCCAATCAAGTGTTAAGCTTCTGTGATCTACCCCAGAGTGACCCCTTTTTCTCTTAAATTCATTCCACCTACTTTTTCTCCCTGTTGTCGGCTAATCTCTCTGTCCACTTCACAGTCTAACTTATTTCCAACCAGTAGAAGTTCTGCGTCTTCTGAGGCATACTATGAGAGAAAGACAAACAAAAGTATAAAATGTCCTCAGGCTATAAGCTTAGATTTTAAATTTTAGACTATAACAAAGTTATACAATAATTATTTTATATAATTAAAATGTATTTTTAAATTATAGATTATCACAAATTACTGTCTTTTTTGTTCATTTTAATTTCCTCTACTATTTCACAGTGTATATATTATTTTTGTTTCATCTTAGAATTGTTGAAGGCCTCTAGCAGCAGTTCTGTTCTATAAGCATTTTCTCCTGATATTTTGCCTGCATCTGTGGCTGGCAGCTTCAGAGGATAATAAATAATAATAACTTTATTTTTATACCTCACCAACCATCTTCCCTACGGGACTCAGACGGCTTACAGAGGGACAGGCCCAAAAATACAGATAAAAACAGAGACAAAATTAAAATCAATCAATAAAATAATAAAGCAAACACAGTCATAACAACATCATAAAAAACAATATGGCTGAGATAAAGGGAACATAGCTGAGTTCAGGCTCAATAAGTGCAATAATTCCTAAAAGGAGCCCATGGAAGGTGCCGAAATCAAATGAACAGGGCTGGGGAATATGATTGCTGAAATTGTCAAGGTAGCTGAGAAGAGGGCTGAAGTAAAGTGCAGAGCTTAAGAAAGGGACAGGCCAATTTCTGATGAACTGCCTAATCAAAGGCGCAATGGAACATCCAGGTTTTTAATTTCCTCCGAAAGGAGGACAAGGTGGGAGCCTGTCTGACCTCTCTAGGGAGGGAGTTCCAGAGCCAGGAGGCCACCACTGAGAAGGCTCTCTCCCTCATCCTCACCAACCGCACTTGAGACAGCGGCAGAAGAGAGGAAAGCCTCTCTGATGATGCCAGTCACAGATGCAGGTGAAATGTCAGGAGAGAACACTGCCATGCAACCCGGAAACTACACAACACCCATCTTAGAATTGTTAGTTGCTCACCAACTATAACAGGTATTGTATGATAACTAAAAAAAGGATCAGGACAGAATATATTCATAGCAGTCAATGGCATCCTGTCATCAAGATCTGTGATATGAGACCCCCCCCCCCCCCCCCCCCCCCCCCCAAAAAAAAAAAAAAAAAGATGTCTAGAGCTATTTTCCCATAGTGGCCATCTCAGCTGAGGCTCATAGGCTCTTTCAAGACAAAACATCTAGAGGACATCAGGATATCAATCTTCACCCCTTGTAAGTATAAAGCAGTTTGGAAATGTCAAATACTTAGAAGTCTAAAAAGCAGGTTACATTTCTTCAGGATTTTACTCTTAAGAATATGCTGCTACAAACAAGTCCAACATTAGAACTTGTTTTAAGTATAAAGTCAACCAAATCAATACTGCTTATTTTGAGAAACTGAAGCGTACCTTATCAATCATTTTCATCCATTTAGGCAAATCATCAAACGTCTCCTTCTTTGTGATATCATACACCAAAATAATTCCCTTGGCACTTCTGTAGTAAGCTGAGGTAATGCTGTTGAATCTTTCCTGACCTGCTGTGTCCCTAAGAATTAGCAGCAAATAATGATAATTTGACTAAATAAGCAAAACATCACACGTTTTTATGGCATGAAATATGTTAAATCTGCATCTGCTTTTACCTTAAAAATTACAACTGATGCACATTTGTGTCAAGGACTGTAATATGGCAAAATTATATATACAAAACAAAATTCTAGTTTGTGAATGTACGTGACAAAACCCACATAATAGAACACTCTTTGACAGTATAAAAACCTTTAACCCAAATCATCTTGTGTACCTTGGTAGGGGAAGGATGGGGCATGAATTGAATGAATGAATAAATACATAAAGAAGAAAAGAATAAATCAAAATAATGTTATGGCTGCACTAACACACAACTAAATTTAAAAGACTAAGCATAAGAATATAAGACATGAAAAATGCAGATGTGGGGCGATTTCAGAAGGGAAACAGATGGAGTGGTTCCAGTCAGCTAAGTCAGCCAACATAACATCATTTCCACCTGTCATCTTCTATGGCAGTGCAAGACACTGATGTCAGAACAGCAGTTCCATTAATTCACAGTACCAAGCCATACACCTCAGCTTCAAACATTTTATTCGTAATTAATTCCTTTCTATTAAACATGATTTTATATAACATATTTTTATATGATGAAGTGGGGGTTTGCACAATGAGTTAGAATAAGCAAAAGACAAACTTTAAACTTCCATTATTTTTACTTTCAACTTTGAGCTTAAACTTTGCAGTCCCTTCTGCCAGCAATTCTATCATTGACAAGTTAATCATAACTTCCCTATAGTGATCCTGTACCGCATCTGGAGAAGTTTATATCCATGAAAGCTCATACTAAAATAAAAACCACTTAGTCTTAAGGGGGCTGCTAAATCCTCCCTTTCCCTCCATCTCCCTTCTTCCTTCCTATAGTGACACTGTCCCTATATATCCTTCTGTAAGAACAAAGAATAGCTACAAAAATTATAAAAAGCTCCTATTTTTACACATTTTACTTATAGTTAGGAAATTTTGGATCAAACCAGATATATCACTCTCATTCTGTTCCTGATTTGATGTACAGAGAATAGCATTCATGACCATTAATGATATGCACTTTCCCATTTATGCTATCAAATCAGTTACACATCACAAATGTCAGAATACTATAAAATCATAAAGATGATTATTCTAGTTGTCTACTGATGTAAGGTGACTCCATGAATTTTATAGGCGTTTCTCACCTTCTAAAATATAATCTATAGCACCTGGTATCCATGGTAGTCTCCCATTCAAGTTACAAGCAAAGCTGATCCTGCTTAGCTTCCAAAATCACACAAGATCTGTTTTTTTAGGCCCTTAGGGCAGTGGTTCTTAACCTGTGGGTCCCCCAGATGTTTTGGCCTTCAGCTCCCAGAAATCTTAACAGCTGCTAAACTGTCTGTGATTTCTGGGAGTTGTAGGCCAAAACCCCTGAGGACCAACAGGTTGAGAACCACTGCCTTAGGGCATTTTATGACACAAAGGAACTTTAATTACATTGTTTTAGACAATTGGCTGAATGCAAATTACTGAAAGCTATAAAGACCTGGGAATTCTCCTCTCCACTAGTCCAAGTATGTGCTCTTAGAAGCAAACTAAACCACACAACACAGTCACACATCCAATTTCTGTCATTTATAGTGAACATGGAGTGTGAGGGTTAATGCAGCTGTGTGCTGGAAGGGGGTTTAGACCCCTTGTCAAAGCCTTTTCTTTAAAAAAAATCCTCATTGTTTTTCTAAAAGAGAGATTGATCCAAAGGTGATTTATGTCCAGAATTAATATGAATTGTGTAAACAATAAAAGGCTTCCAAGTGATTTCAAATATCTCTGCTTTTATTTTCCCTCTTGCTAATCTCACTTAGTTTTTTCTGAAAGTCCCATAGATCATATTATGTTTAGTCACTTTTGTATTGAAAGGTCTTCTCATGTTTTCACAATTTTTAATCTTCTAGAACTTGACATAAGTGCTAGAAGATCCTTACTTGACATTTTGTATTCGAGCTTTCAATTATGAAAATGAAGAATGCTCCTTTACAATTATTTTTGACCTAACATTTATCTTGTAGTATATAATTTCTATTGTGTACATAGCAAGTATTGAGGGGGATGTATGTAGGAAAAAGGTCCAAATCTCCCCAGCTATAAGGAATTTCCACCCTGAAGTTCTGATGGAAGGAAGCTGCCACTGGTACCAATAAGCGGCTTCCCTCTTGAAGAGAGCAGCTTTGTAAATACACTGATTTTTGGCATGGGGGAGGGAAGGATAAAACTGCCTTTCAATGACACAATTTAGTCTAGATAACCTCATCCCAGTATCCAGGAGCTGTCTAAAAAACTCAAGTGGAAAATGAAGGACATCAGTGTGTCAACATACATGCACAATTCTACATACATTGCTTTGGATGCTACTCCCTTTCTACAAATGAAATATGTGCCTAACAGAACTGAAAAGCGACAGCAATACCTATTAATCATTTCCAGTTTAGGGAGTCAAGAGTTACAGAAAATCCTTAAGCAGAGGATGTATTATATCCAACGCAGGGTTAAAAATGCAGGCTATTTTTAATAAAATAAAAAATCAGGAAAGATTTTATTAAAGATAAATCCACTACATGCTTTATGGGCAAACACTACTTTCTACTTGGGTAGGGAGCATAAACTAACCCTAACTCTAACCATTTACTCTCTTATTTACAAAAAGCTAAGTTACATAAACATTACTTCTGCACTCATCCTTTTCCTCAGGGTCAAAGAGAATATTCTACAACTTTTTTCAATATTGACATGACCCTCATAACCATTCTGTACTTACAGCTATACCCATGTTAAATATTACAGTTCCATCAATATTGTTAGGAATCTTGTATTGGTTTCTATTACACAAAGAAGCAGAAATCCAGTAACTACATTTTATTCAAGATTTGTGGCCAAGAATCAACGGGATACATTTTCTGATGAAATTGCTTCCATGAATAAAACTGTGAGTTCATGTGATCTTCCCTCCCTATTTCAACCCTCTATGCACCCTCCCAAAAACATTATCAAACAGTTTGAAAAATCTCTAGGGCATGATTTTAAGCAGTACTAAATTTATGAGAGAGGTAAATTTTTTTGTTTGCTTTAGACTTTAATCAAAACTTTGCCTAGATCGAAAAAAAAGTCTATTCTCTATTACATATATTTCACAATTGGGAAAAAAGATCACTGAACTCAAACAGTTGTAATGAAAATGAAAAAAAAAACCCACAAGCATACAGGATATAAAAAAGGGAAATATGAACAGCAATACGACCACTCTAAATTCAGTTCTCCTTGACATTCTTGTCACAAAAACAGTTAACTCTGAAACAACCCTGGAAGAATTAAATGTGAGAGGAATGTCTCACCAAACACTTTTAATGAGACTGAAGTATGTAGGCATGCTTGACATGCAAACATTAGACACTTAGGCATTGGTATTTTGTGAGAAAGTCAGAAAAACACAAAAGGGAAATACAAAGGGAAAAACCCATTGTTTAAAGTGCCTGTACATTACATGCAGTACAGGCAGCATACAAACCTGTCTAGTCGCTCACCTCTGATGTACCTATACTTTTACCTATACTTTGCACTCTATTGTGCATAAAAACATTGAAGTGGCATCCACATTTAAAACATTGTAGAGGAAAATTACAAGTTTTCTTTTCAAATCATGATTGCTAGATATTCACAAACTGAAATATCTTGGAAAGCATTCAAGATGTAGAACTGCCAGGTTTGTTTTTATAGCAACTAGAATGTGATGAGAAGCGTTTGCCAAATTGGCAGGATGGATTCCTTCCAGCCACTGCATAATCCTACCAGATAAAGACAATTCCTAGAAAAGTTAAGCAACATTAACATCTAACTGAAAGTGTTTGTATGTGTCGGAAGATGCATATATTTACAGTACTGAGATTAAATAATATCTAAACAAAATAAACATTGAGTATCATTTAAGGGAACTATGTTTGCTACATTTATGTCACATTGAATCATCTTCACCCGTAATCCCAATAATAGCAGAAGATCCATATGCGTGTCTGCTACGTACGTTAATCTGTACTATAGACCATCACATGCACTGCGGTCTATAGAGGAGGCCTTTCTCTCAGTCCCACCCCCGTCACAAGCTTGGTTGGTGGGAATGAGAGAGGGGATCTTCTCTGTGATGGCTCCCTGTCTCTGGAACTCCCTCCCAAAAGAAATAAAAATGGCCCCATATTCCTCTCCTTTAAGAAACTTTTAAAAACGCACCTATGCACTTTAGCATAGGGAGAGGAGGACGAGTAAGACACTTTAAACGCTAGCTAACTCACTTGTACTATATGGCTGTTATGATACATCTTAAATAAAGCACTGGTGTCAGCCATTTTTAATGTAATTTCTCTTAATTTACTTTTAGGGTGTACATTGTAATGTTTACTTATGTTTTAGTTTTTTATGTCTTAATGAATTGTTTCTGTTTTTATTTTATTTTGATGCTTAATGCCTTCATTGTAAGTTTTCTGCTGTTAGCTATCCATTATCCTGTATTATTTTTATGTGTTTGTACACATTTCGAGGCATTAAATGTTTGCCTCTTTATGTGTAAACCGCCTTGAGTCCTTCCGGGGAGAGAGAGCAGTCTAGAAATAAAGTTTTATTATATCTAATTCTTTCACTGAAATTAATAAATTAACCCCTGCACAAAGAACTGTGTTTGTGCACAATAGAATACATGGAGAACTACTGACTGGAAATCATAACTTTATGCATATGTAAAATGTTAAGAACTCTCTTATAACATTACTAGCCGTTTCCTGCCACGCATTGCTGTGGCCCGGTCTGGTGATCTGGAAAATAAAGTAATTAGAAAGTGTTGGTTTCTAATATATGTAATTTCTTTATGCTTCTGGGTAAACAGCATTTCTTGCTGTTTCTTTGTCAGTGTTGATGTGGAGATTGTCTGGTTTGCCCACTCTGGAACATGCAACATATAATTGTCCTTCTTTAGGAGTCCCTTTCAAATCTATGGTACTATATCTGTGTGTGTGTAAATCAAATATATCTATCTATATCTATGGCTGGATGGCTCTTTGTCAGGAGGGCTTTGGTTACGTTTTCTTGCCCTGGTGGAGGGAGTTGGACTGGATGGCCTTAAGTATTTTCTTTGATTGTAGGTGAACTATAAATCCCAGTAACTACAACTCCCAAATGAGAAAATCAATTTTTTGAGTGATGGTCACTCCTTGGGTTAGTAGGTGTCTTGTGGCTAAATTTGGCAGCAATTCGTCCAATGGTTTTTGAGTTATGTTAATCCCACAAACGAACATTACATTTTTATTTATATAGATTCTTAATATAATTTATTTTATTTTCATTTACTAGATTAGCCACAATATTCAATTGGAGAATAAAATGAAACCTTTTATTTTTTTAAAAAAAATCTGAGATACCAGTTACAGAAGATAAACAAAATCAGGGTCAGAGGCTCATCCAATCAGGAACCCAGTTATGTGTACTGAGCATCTACTGAAATAAGTCAAATGATTTGACTTACTGCAGAACTTCAATGACTTCAAATGCTAAAATGTTTGTGAATCAACAGTCTAAAAAAGCCACAAAAACAGTTAATTTTACTGTCAGATATTGGCACACTAAAAATCTACATTACCTCATGTCAGCTTCAGAAGACCCATGCTAACCATCATGTTGGCTCAAATACCAACTCTGAGGCCATACGAATCCAGATGGGGACACAGATGAGGAATGAAGTCATGCCAGTAACTTTCAAGTATTAGGTAACGGATGAACGAAAGATGCAACAGCAATTAACTCAGATGGAAGCAAGACAAACACATGGTGCGACAAACAGAGTTGATGGTGACCTGCCAAGAGGAGTTAGTAAACTGAATTCACTACATCTATGCAAATGTTAAATATTACAAGCTTATGCCAGTGCTGTCATTCAAATAACCACCAAAGTTTATTTTCCCCCCTCTGGCCATTAGCATGTCTAGCAGTTATCTTTTATGCCAAGGACTAGTACTAGTAATATACTAGGATGAAGCCATCGGGAAATTTGCAGGATTAAGTTTGTGCAAGCACAGCTGGTTTATTCTCTCCTAACAGCAATTCGCACTACACTACAATGTATTATCTCATGATATAATAGAAGGGCTCTTAACCTGCGGGCCTGTGGATAGGCTTCAAGGAGCCCATGAGCCAGGGACAATATTTATTTTCTTTCCATTTCTTTGGAAATTATTTTAAACTTGATGTTAAATATATTATTAAGGCATTGCTTCATTCCAAGCAAGTGCAATGTGTCATGGCACAGTTAGGTCATGTACAGCTAGCTGCACATACAAAAGTAATACAACACACAACCTTATTGAGTTGAAGACAAATGGCACGATGCAGTATAAATTGAAATCCTGTCTCCAAACCCACTTTTTTTTCAGTTCCACTTCTCCAAACCTGGCCACAGTGACTGTAAGTACAGTCATATCTCATTTCTGTTACCATTTTCAGATTGGCTACAGAAGGAAGTACTTGAAGGAAGTACTTGGACTCTGAGATGCTTGAGAATGTTTCCATTTTGGGGTGGGGTGGGGGTTCTGAGTAATTTTTAGGCAAAATTGGCTGAAAGTTGTGTGCTTTTTGTTAAAGGAATGCATGAGGATTGATGAGGAGGATCGATGAGGAGTTTCACAGTCTACAAAAGTGAGGTCTGGGGACAATATTTTCCCATCTCTGATTTAAACAGTATTTAATTTCTGAATGGCTGGAACCTAGAGCAAGATAACTACTAATTTCCTATTAGAAAATTCAACTATTGAATTGTCTTATTATTGTAAAGGTTTTTGCATTTTCCTATTAAAATACTATCAAATCGATTTCAGCTCAGAAATTATTAAACTTGAGTACCCACTTTGTTTGCTTTTTGGGAGCCTTTTTAGCTGAAAACCAAAGTGAAAACTTCTTAAATAAATGTGCAAGTCATCTAATCCACCCTTATCACTGCTACATCTTCATGGCATTTAACCTCACGGCATTCAGGAGGGACTTGAAGACCTGGTTATTTAAACAGGCTTTTGACAGTGATTAGTCAACCTCTAGGATATGGATTTATGGTAGCAAGCCCCTTTAACTAATGGAAACGACGGTGTTTTAATCTATTGTTAATTTTTGCTATTTGATTATGCTGTATTTTGTGTTTTATATTTATTGATGTGTTATTATTTGTTTATTCCATTTTCTGTATTTTATTGTACTGCACATATTATTATAATATTTATGTTGTAAGCCACCCCAAGTCCCCTAGGGAGAGGGGGCAAGATATAAATCAACTTTATTATTTATTATAATTACATTTCAACTTTGCAACCTATTTTAAGGCTGCGTGAGGGAGAGAAAAAGCAGCAGCAGAAGGTAGGCAAAAAGTTAAATCAGCTTACAATAGTGAATGATAGTGAATGGTATTAAACAAGCAGACTGAAACCATGCTAAAACACAAAATATATAATCAGAATCCTGCTAGTTGCATTTTTTTACTTACCAAATCTGTAATCTAATTTTCTTTCCTCTTAGCTCTACAGTTTTGATTTTAAAATCAACACCTATAAATAAAATAAAAGAAATAAAAGAAATTAAATAAGTGATAAAATTAATTCAGGCATGCTTTAAATTTGTAACAGTCCAAATGGAGGATCTGTATTTCAACAAGCGCAAAGGCCTAGCATTTATAATTTAACTCAAAACAGTTTGTCCCTACTGTTATCATAAAAAACTACCATAAATCTTCCCATTAGTAACCATATCGGTTCTAGCATCATCTTTTTCCATCTGCCTCTGTTTGACTAAATAAGTTGGAAATAAAGGTCAACCTATAAAAGTCAAGCTTAACCAATTTTAATACATTTTAGCGTAACCTAAAGTCAAAGGTCACTGATAGATCCAGGAAGATCTGCTGTTTTTCTATCCAGAATAGGTTAGAGAAACTAAGACAGGCCTGAAACGACACTGAAATGAAATGATTTGTTTCCTCCAAGAACATATGAAATTTTCCAGCTTCATATGCTCAACGATATGCCAATAGCAGTAAGATATGCAATTCTCACATATTTTGGGGTCCAAGGAAGTCATCTTCAGGAAAAGACATCAAGGTAGCAGATGTATTGCCTTGACATAGTCATTTACCACACTCTGGACCCACCCAATCCACTTCTGCTAGATTTTAATAGCCAAGATAGACAAGCATCAACCATACATGTGGTAGAACAGATTAATTCAAGCATTTCCATGCCATCAAGCTGCAACACCCATAAACTGGTCATAGAAGACCTGATCAGTTGGAGTGCTTCACATTCTCAGACTCTGTGTTAACAGTGGTATAAGTTTCTGAACTAATACAGGCTACTTTCTCATTGAAGTGTATGACAAACTTGTCACAGTAGGCAGCATTTAGAAAACATCAGTACTCCTGCTTTGTAACTATCAGGATCACATATGTCTATGAAAAACATATTAAGAGGATTATTTAGTTTACATTTCAAGCTAGCACTGATAATTTTTTTTACTGAATGACATCAATTGAACTCTTGACAAGTGCAATAACTGGCACAATTCTCACTGCATTTCTCATTATGAAATGGCATTTTCCCCATCATATTTTGATCACGACACTGTTTTTACTAGTTAATGGCTACTGTATTTTGTGTTTTCAATCAGAAGAAAATGCCTAGATCTAAGTGTACAAGATACCCCTCTTTCATTTTTAGTATTTGGTGCCTCCTTTATTAGCACACCAGTTATTTTAGCATGCATCTTAGCATATTATTCCTTTTGATCTTTATTTTCTACCTGGAAATATGAGTGTCTTGAAAGAGAACCCATTTTTTTCAAAGCCCATTCCTAGAAAATGGAAGATGAAATTTGAAAATGGAAGAAATGAGTTATGGAATGGCATAGCAGTAAATAAAATATTTTAAACAAAGTGTTCGTGTATTTACTCTCCCAAAGTTATTTTTAAATGCATATTATCTGATCATTACAGTTACTAGCCTTGGCTGACACGATGAAGGACTAAAAAAGACAAAATAATTTTCTGTTTTACTGATACTGATAGTTTTTTTCTTCTTTTTGCATTACTTTTTCCTATTCTTAAGAAAGCAACAAAACCAAAGTAGCCCATTACAGTTCAGGATCTTATGACTCCATTTGTACTAAGTATACATATGATAAAAGTGATATTGCTAAATAAGCTAAATGTTAAAAATGTTAAAATTCAATTGTGCTGCACAAAATTATTATACACTGAACAAATGCAGGAGTCAAAACTAGAAGCCCTCTATTTCTTTCTACGACAAAAAACCACTAAGCATTCACTTCTGCAATCTTTGCTTCCAGTTTCTAAAATTAGCTCACATATGATTACTAGTAAGTTGCTATTATAAGCAACAAAACAGTGCAATCCTGCACATGTTTATTCAGTATGGTTTACTTCTAGGTTCAACAGGATCTACACCCAAGAAGGTGAACATACAACAGTAGTCCAAATAATTTGCAGTTATAATACAAGGCCTCATTCTGACTTCAATCAAAATGTGAAGTTACAAATTAATCTTAAATTAAATAAACATTTGGGGTATTTACTGATAACAGTAGGCAAATTCAAAAAGAACCAATATTACGGAGATGTTAAAAATGGGTCTAGCCTGTAATTTTGAGGTCCAATTAATGATCCTATTTGGTGTAAGCTCTCAAAGGTCTTCTTTGAGTTTTTTTTTGAAATTGATAAGTCATTCCTCATTGACCATCCTTGAAATGTGTCTTCAGTTTTCTGCTACATATACTGGGTACTTCCCTATTTTTGTTTCTTTAAATTGCTTTATTTGCCCATTTGGGAGTTTGAAATGAATTTAAAGTGTCATTTATAACTGTTAGAATAAAACTTTGCAGAGCAACTATTTTAAATTTCCAGCTTCATGTTTCTTTGCAACCAAGCACAGTAATATTTCATGTTTTACAAATTATCATCTTCTCATTAGCCAAGGAAATGCAAAGTATGCCTATTACAAATATTTACATGAAAATCATTATCATTACACTCAGTTAAAAGTTTAAGCCTAATCAAATTGTTATTCCTATCAAGTGTGCCCACTAAATCAGCGAAAACTTGGTCAGCACTTGTTCCATTGACAGGATGGATTTACTTTGGTTGGGATTAACAACTGCATATAGAATCAAATAATCTTCAAGTAATCTTCAAGTGTGGTTAGAACTTGAAGGCTAATGATTTTTCAAATGTTGTTTCAGTAAGTCTTATTGCAACCTTCTTTGAAAAATCAATAATGGCAGGCAAACCTCGGTGAAAGATAGCTTGCCTGTCACTAATGATTTGCAAACCTAAAATAGGCGCATTTGGAGCATGCTTGACTGACAAGTAGTGATGCTGAGACACAACAGACCTGGCCAGTGCCCCCTTTTAACTCTGCAGAATGTTCTCCTCATGCAAAAACATAGAGGTTTCTGATGAAAGTAATTGGTGCAGAAAAGTAGAAAGTCTGCAAACCATAGATTAAACATTTACTTTGTCAGTGTCCTGCACTACAAGATTAAAGGGTATTTTATGAAATCATTTAAACTGCTTGCTGGAAATATGTATAACTGGATATAGAAGTAATTTTTAAGAGAATGGTAATCCCAGGTTATCTATAAGGAGAACAGAGTTATCACAAGTAATGTTTCTTAAATTTTTATTTTGAACATAAGAAATCATTCAAAAGATGCTGCCAATGCATTCGTATTCTCATTGCCACTACTATGTGGATATTCCTCAAAACTTAACACTCAGATACACTTTTACCTTTTCACATGAGAAGTGGAAAAAAATATCATGAAAAGAGTATTAAAAATATATCTGTGGACCTCTTCACATGTCCTTCCCCCCTGTGGGACACCCCGTGTGCCCTCCCTCCTTTCCCCATCACGTTGGGGGAATTGTACAAGGTGCCCTCCCTGTCCCCATCAGATAGCGGACTGGGTGGCAACACATGTTGCTCTTTCCCCCATAAAATGGGGAAGATAGGTAAAAAAATATCTTTTTTCTTACAGGGAGTTGTACCCTGAGGGTTTAGGCCTTCTTCTTTTCACTCAACATCCTCTTTGGGGTACAGCATAATTCATGGTCCTCCAAGCATAAGGACATTATAGATGACTGCATCAGCATGGTATTGACAGTTTTATTTTCATGCCTCTCCTAGTGCTCAACAACATGGAATTTGCCCAACCCCCGCAACTAGGCAGATGTTTTAGTTATTGCCAGCTCAATACAATGATCAATACATTGCTTTGCTTAAAAAGTAAGTAGCACAGCATCCATATGGAAAAAACGTGGTTCATGCACAAAATCATGAAAAATATAACATTACTTTCAGACTATGTGTATAAGGTGTGCATAAATGAATTTCATGTTTAGACTTGAGTCCCATCTCCAAGAGAGTGTAAGTGGGGGCGGAGAATCTGAAATCCAAAAAAATTGGGCTCAAGCGTTTTGGAGATGGGATACTTGACCTCTCACATCCTAAACCCGCTTTGCTAGGGAGATGTTCACAATATGGACAGAATCCGGAATTTCACACAACTCTAACCCCAAAGGCACTGCTGTATTAATCTGAAATATTAGTAAGCAAAGTTACTGTAGTGCCTTAGCGTCTTAGAGTGCATCTAGTGTACAATTAATTGAACTGCCATGGCACAATGCTATGGAATCATGATAGCTGTAGTTTTACAAAGTCTTTAGCCTTCTCTGTCAAAGATTGCTGGTGCTTTACCAAATTACAAATCCCAGGAATACATAGCATTGAGCCATGGCAGTTGAAGTTGTGTCAATCTGCATTAATTCTACAGTGTAGATGCACCATAAGTGAGAGAAAAAGGTTGGTAGCATAAGCTTTCAAGACAAAAGGTTGAGTCATCTGAGGAAGTAGACTCAGGATGCATGATACTGTAGAATTAATACAGTTTGACATCACTTTAACTGCATCAATGCAATGGGATTGAATAGTTTAGGATTCGCAGTTTGGTGAGGCACCTGCACTCTTTGGCAAGGAAGACTAAATATAGACTTTGTGAAACTACAGTTCTCATGATTTCATATCATTGAGCCAGGGCACTTAAAGTGGTGTCAAACTGTATTAATCCTACAATGTATGTACCCTAAGGCATCTGAGGTAGTAGATTTAGTGTGCAGCAATACTGAAGAATACAGTTTGACAACCATCTCTACCTGCTAAAGCACATAGGAGTTTTAGTTTTAACGGCAGCCAGGTTGTTAACTGGGGCTCCTTACAGGGAGCGATCAACCCTCCTATTCAAGGAGGTCCACTGACTGCCATTCATTTACCGGACCCAATTCAAGGTGAAGGTTCTTACCTACAAAGCCCTGAATGCTTTGGGACCCGCCTACCTGCGTGACCGTATCTCCATATACGAACCCACACGATCCCTTCGATCATCTGGAGAGGCCCTGCTCTCGATCCCACCAGCATCGCAGGCGCGATGGTGGGGATGAGAAAGAGGGCCTTTTCGGTGGTGGCCCCTCGACTCTGGAACGCACTCCCTAAAGACATCAAACAGGCCCCAACTTTGGCAGTCTTCAGGAGGAGCTTGAAGACGTGGCTGTTCCAGTGTGCCTTCCCGGAATAATGATCCCATAGCACTTTGTCCTCCAAAGCACTTTACATTTCTTTAGGTCTGCTCGTATGCCCTTCCGCAAACACCACTATCTCCTTTTCGTCTATGTCCCAACATTAATTCCAATTTTAACTGTACGTTTGGCCTTTCCACTGTTTTTAATTATGTGTTGTCTTATTAATAATGTTGTATATTTCTTATTGTCTATGTTTTTTTATTTTTAATTGCTTGTATTGTTGTTTATTGCCTGCATTGTTGTATTTGGGCTCGGCCTCATGTAAGCCGCACCGAGTCCCTTGGGGAGATGGTAGCGGGGTACAAATAAAGTGTTATTATTATTATTATTAGTTTTAAAACATTTTTAGCCTCCTACGCCAGAGTGTTGGTATCTCACCCAACTTACTGGTGTAACATTAGAAAATGTTGACCATTTCTGCTACCTTGGCAGCCACCTCTCCACCAAAGTCAACATCGACACCGAAATACAACACCGCCTGAGCTCTGCGAGTGCAGCATTTTCCCGAATGAAGCAGAGAGTGTTTAAGGACCGGGACATCCGTAGGGATACCAAGGTGCTTGTCTATAAAGCTATTGTCCTCCCAACCCTGCTATGCCTGCGAAACGTGGACTGTCTACAGACGTCACATGCAACTCCTGGAACGATTCCATCAGCGCTGCCTCCGGAAAATCCTGCAAATCTCTTGGGAAGACAAGGACAAACGTCAGCGTGCTGGAAGAAGCAAAGACCACCAGCATTGAAGCGATGGTCCTCTGCCATCAACTCCGCTGGACCGGCCACGTTGTCCGGATGCCTGACCACCGTCTCCCAAAGCAGTTGCTCTACTCTGAACTTAAGAACGGAAAACGGAATGTTGGTGGACAGGAAAAGAGATTTAAAGATGGCCTCAAAGCCAACCTTAAAAACTCTGGCATAGACACTGAGAACTGGGAAGCCCTGGCCCTTGAACGCTCCAGCTGGAGGTCAGCTGTGACCAGCAGTGCTGCAGAATTCGAGGAGGCACGAGTGGAGGGTGAAAGAGAGAAATGTGCCAGGAGGAAGGCGCGTCAAGCCAACCCCGACCGGGACCGCCTTCCACCTGGAAACCAATGCCTTCACTGTGGGAGAAGATGCGGGTCAAGAATAGAGCTCCACGGCCACCTACAAACCCACAAAAATAGTCATCAAGGAAGACCATCTTACTCGTCCAACGAGGGATCGCCTAAGTAAGTAAGGTATCTCAACAAACTACAACTCCCACGATTCCTCAACATTTAGTCTTGTCAATTAAAGTTAATTCTCCAGTATACAGATACAGCCTTGGTTTCCAGATCTTTTATCATCTTGTCTGCTATTTCTATTTAGCTCCATTAGATGACCTCTCAGTCTAGGAAACTCTCAGTCTAGGAAAGCTGATGCTACCGACTTTGCTCTCACAGTTAAGTCCCCAGGATCCCTTTACAGTCAAAGTTACAGCTGTGCCCAGGACTGTTTACAAAACTTAGGGTGCATCAGGACTGTTTACAAAACTTAGGGTGCATCTACAGAGTAGAATTAGTGCCATTCGACATCACTTCATCAGCCATGGCTTAATGCTATGGATTCCCAGGAGTTATAGTCAAAAATACCAGTGTTGGTGCCTCACTAAACTATAACTCCCAGGGATCCATAGCATTGAGCCATGGCTGTTGAAGTGATGTCTTAGTTGTATTCAGCTGTGTGGAAGGGGCCTGGGAGTCAAGCGAAGCCTAACATGAAGTGAACTAAAACCAAACTAAAACCAAAATCCCTCCAATGGGGGAGTGAGGCGTGCGGGTCAGTCCCTACCTACGGTGGACTTGCAGGCCTCGCAGAAAGTGTCGTCGGTGAAGCGCTCCATGAGGCTGGTCTTGCCGACGCCTCGAGAGCCGATGATGATGACCTGCAGCTTGAAGTCGGCCGGGCGCGGCGGCTGCTTCCTGCGGCGGGACTGGGGCCCCGAGAGCGACGACGGGGAGCCCCCCGCCGAGCCCAGGCCGCCCCCTCCTCCTCCGCCCAGGCCCAGCCCCCTCCGTGGCGGAGGCTGGTTAAGCCCAGCGCCCGGCTCCATCCACTCAGGCGGCGGAGGACTGGGCCCCGACCAGGCCCGGCTCTCTCTCTCCCTCACTCTCTCTCTTTCTGGCTGGTGCGCGCGCACTCTCCCTCTGGCCCTGAGCGAAGGCGGCCCCGCGCGCCGCGATGCCCGGATGTCGACGCGGGGGGGGGGGAGATGCTGCACGCGCGGCGAAAAGGGAGCAGCGCCCTCTGCAGGGAGGGAGGGCTGTGGCCACAAACCCTGTTGCGCTCCTGTTGACAACTGTTGGATGTCTGCCCAACACACAGGAGTCTTGTCAGTAAAGGGAGGGAAAAAGTAATGGTCCTATGAGGAGCGGCTTAAAGAGCTGGGCATGTTTAGCCTCCAGAAGAGAAGGCTGAGAAGAGACACGATAGCCATGTATCAATATGTGAGGGGAAGTCATAGGGAAGAGGGAGAAAGCTTGTTTTCTACAGCCCTGGAGGAGCCCCGGGTGGCACAGTGGGTTAAAACCCCTGTGTTGGCAGGACTGAAGACTGACAGGTCGCAGGTTTGAATCCGGGGAGAGTGTGGATGAGCTCCCTCTATTAGCTCCAGCTCTTCATGCTGTCCAACTGGCAGGGGGACATGAGAAAAGCCTCCCACTAGGATGATAAAACATCAGAACATCCGGGCGTCCCCTGGGCAACGTCCTTGCAGATGGCCAATTCTCTCACACCAGAAGCGACTTGCAGTTTCTTAAGTCGTTCCTGAAACGACCAAAAAAAAACTGCCCTGGAGAATAGGACACGGAGCAATGGCTTCAACTACAGGAAAGAAAGGATATTCCACCTGAACATTAGGAAGAACTTCCTGACTGTGAGAGCTGTTCAGTGGTGGAACTCCCTGCACCGGAGCGTGGTGGAGGCTCCTTCTTTGGAGGCTTTTAAAGCTCTATACCAGGGGTCCTCAAACTAAGGCCCGGGGGCCGAATAAAACCAAACTAAATGGCCGGTAAATGACTTCCAAGGTCATTTACCCGGCCCTCGCTCAGGGTCAATCTAATGACTTGAAAGCACAACAATCCTATCTCATCAGCCAAAAGCAGGCCCACACTTCCCATTGAAATACTAATAAGCTTGTATTTATTGAAATTGTTCTGCATTTTAATTATTGTATTGTTTTAAAATGTTTTTTTGTAGTACAAATAAGATATGTGCAGTCTGCATAGGAATTCATGTTTTTTTCAAATTATAATCTGGCCCTCCAACAGTTTGAGGGACTGAGTCCTGGCCCTCAGTTTAAAAAGTTTGTGAACCCCTGCTCTACATGGTTGTCGCCCAGCTTACTTCTGCCTCTATGTCCCACCTCGTAACTTAAGATCATCCGGGGAGGCCCTGTTCTTGCTCCCGCCAACATATCAAGCACAGCTGGCGGGGACAAGAGACAGGGCCTTCCCGGCTGTAGCCCCTGCCTGTGGAATGCACTTCCAAATGAAATACGATTGACCCCATCCTTCCTAGCGTTCAAGAAGAAATTAAAATATTGATTTTGGGACCAGGCTTTCAGACAATAAACATAAAGCAGCACTTTGACTGAAAATAGATTGGCAAGACGATATATATGAGGATACAGTTTTATTGTTCTATCAGTGGGTTTGTGGACTGAGTATTGTTTGGTTAGAATTAATTGCTATTGTTTTAACTCTGTATGTATTTATGGTTTTATACTGTGCTATTGATTTGTGGCATCGAATTGCTGCCTTTGTTAGCCACTCTGGGTCCCCCACCCCGGGGGGAGGGGTTGAGAAGGGCGGTGTAAAAATGTTGTAAATAAAATAATAAATAAAATAAAATAAACAGATGGCCATCTGTTGAGGGCGCTTTGGTGATAGTATGATGCTTTGAATGCGATTTTCCTGTTTCTTGGCAGGTGGTTGGACTGGGTCTTCCAACTCTATGATTCTACGATTCTTAAATTGTAAACTGGTTAATTGTAAAACTATCCCTCTCTAATTTCAGTTTAGGGAATGTAGTGACTTGAAGATTGGGGTGCATCTTCTCCACTGTAGAATTAATGCCATTTGATACTACATTTAACTACCCTGGCACAATACGAGGGAATCCTGGGAGTTGTAGTTTGGTGAGTCACCAGCACTCTTTAACAAAGAAAGCTGAAGACCTAGTGCAATGTTTCTCAAACTCTGCTCCTCCGAGTGTTTTGGACTTCAGCTCACAAAGTCCCAGCCAGCTTACCTTGTTAGCAATTGTTGGAGCTGAAGTCCAAGACACCTGGAGGAGCAGAATTTGAGAACCGCTGACCTAGCAGAATGGCTCTGTGGGACTTAATGTGGTGTCAAACTGCATTAATTCTACTATGTAGATCCACCCTAAGACTCTGGAAACCATGGTTTAAATCCCCACTTGACCCTGAAGGCACATTCTCTAAGAACTCGAGAACCACAGGCCAAATCCAGCCCTCCAATGCTGGACTACAACTCCAGTTTTCCTCACCATTAAACATAATGACTAGAGCTGATGGGAGTAGTGATACAGTGACATCTGTTCTATTTAGTGACGATAGCGGGGTTTGAATGTAGGTGCAAAGCTTGTGATGCCTAACTTTAAAATGCCCTTGAGCTTTTCCCTAACCTCAGAGCTACAAGTGCTGCTGGGTTGCCATTCCCATTTCCCCCAGTCTGCATCAAAAGTGATGTTGTCATTCAGTAACAGCTGGGGACCCAAACTGGGTAAAGATCGAAGAGCACCTCCAACTCTGTGTGTGTGTATTTGGCCCCCTACATCCATAAGTTCTCTGTCCTTGGATTTAGTGGCCCTTTGAAAGCAACCTTAAGGCTGCTATGGCCTTAAGTGAGTGACACCCCTGCTTATGCATCATTGTTAACATTATTTATTCACCTCTTCTGTGCCTGCTTTTTCTCCGTCTTTGTTTTGCAGCACTTTACCTGTAGCCCTTCTTTAGCTTCACCATCTATTCCCCATTGTAGAAAATGATACTACTAATACAAAACATAGCAAAGCCAGCAACAAAAGTGATATCGGCCTGTCTTTGAGATGCCTTCAGGGGGTGCTATTGTAATATGCTGCACCTGTTGTGGCCTGCTCACTCCACTTAATGGCCAGGAGAGCCTCTTTTTCTCTTCCTCTTTTCTATTAACTTTTAACTGCACATGTCATTTTAATTTCTTCCCCAAGCTCTAGCCCCTTGAAAATGCTATAGAGAGAAGATCAGAAGAAAGGTGGTGATGAAGGTATGGGGAAAAAGTTGCAAAAATGCTGGGGGTGGGTCTTTCATAAAATTTAGCCTTTTACTAGAAGGCAGATTCCAGATCCAATTCAATATTTGCAATTATTTTGTTGGAGTAACAATCAATAAGTCAACAGGTTGTAAAATCTGAGTGCTGCTTTTTTCATGACAAATTAAGCCAGTATTTGACAGCAGTTGAAGACCTGGGGATAAAAGCTGACAGCATGTCTGCAGCTATAACAGAAAAGAACAAAAACATTTGAACTTTTAAAATGCCAAACCAATAAAGAGGATTCAGAAATGACAGCAGAGTAATGCCCCTCTGTTTTTCTCCAGTGGAAGCCATCTCCGTGTGCTCTCAGGCAGCAATAAATCAAGCTTCTAAGGGAGCAATACAAATACATCTTGGTGCAATAATATTAAGTATAACCATCATAAATTTTAGTTTATATCCTTAAAAAAACCTATTATGTTTCATCAATGTAGTGTAGTGAAAGAGCATATGGGCTTTATTTTTCATTTACTTGCTTACATACCCATCTGTCTTTAGAAAATTACCTTCTTGTTGCTGAGTTAACACTACAATAATAAATTATTTCTAAGTTTATGTGAAGTTTTTATGGAACTGGTCTACGTATCAACAAAACTGCTTGTTACAGCATTCCCAGCTAACCATACTTATCAGGTAACTCACATGTTGTATATTGACAACAGGTGGCCATGGGGGAGAAAGTGTATTCCAACTGTGGTGGAATAATGTGGCTTTTTGCAACAGTGGTTCCCTTTTTCATAAAAGCTCTGGATTTCAGTCATTTGTGCATTCATATGTTGTCATTGTTTCCAGATAATGTAATTGGTTATATTTTACATATGTGCCCATGTGTAATCACATGAACACATGGTGAGTCATAACAATCATATGTTATTTTATAAAAGTACTAAAGTTACTCAATTTGCATACGGTATTGTGATATATGAACAACTGTGAGCATGAAAGGACACAGTTATTTTTAAAACAGTTCCACAAAAGAATCAGTATTTGTGAACGTCTTGGTATTTGTTGTATTTTTAAACAAATATCCATGCCCCAAGAGAATGTTTAAAATAGCTAGTAGTTTTAAATAGAACACATTAGTGTACATGTGTTATATTTTAAACTACTAGCCATTTAAATAAATGCAGCTACAGGGCTTCCCTCAGATGACAGCCAAGGGAAGCCCCGTAGTTGCAAAGGAGACAGGCACATGGCTGAGTGGCGCTTCACCCATCCGCCTACCTGCTTCCTAGGAGCCCTGGGCCTCACCCGCCTGCCCCTAAGTCTTACCCTTCATTCATTTGCTTGGGCAGGTGCATGGGTGAGTAAATAAAGGGTGCAACTATTATGTGAGGAACAGCAAAATACTAATTTTGCCACTGAGGGGTGGGGGTTTACATGCAGTGGCAACTACCGTGTTTCCCTGAAAATAAGACACTGTCCTATATTTATTTTTCCTCAAGAAGACACACTATGGCATATTTTCAGTGGATGTCTTATTTTTATTAAGTATGGTACAATAATCTACATTTACTGTGTTTGTGGGGGGTGAGAGAGACCCACAGACTGGTGCTGGTTGGTGCTGGGGGAGAGAGACCCACAGTGCTGAGTAAAATGACAGCCACGGTTTTATTTCTTCCCCCTGAGGATACACAATACCTAAAGCAGAGCATCCTGCTCCTCACTTCACTGAGGAAACTTTCATTTACACTTTCTATGCATCCCTCGATGCCTCAACTTGCAGCATGCACAGAACGACCTGGACCTGACAGGGGGAGCCAACCTTGTTGATGGGGTATAAATAAAATGATCAAGTGTCTGGAGAACAAGCATTATGAAGAGCGGCTTAAAGAGCTGGGCATGTTTAGCCTGA